AAAGAAAGGGTACTTATAACACCGTACTGCACCATCGTAGGGAGTTTATTGCTGTCCTGTGTGACTGAAGTTTGACTGCCGTGGGAAATCAAGAAAATCGATACGCTAGTCAGAAACGGTGAATAGCGAACAGTGTTCAACGGGATGCCACGGCTGCTCGATTAGCAGGGGACTTAGTTTGCCCTAATTGAAAACGCCAAGAGTGTTCGATTGGCAGATCATAAGGAACGCCTCGAAAGATGGGCTGAGTATTTCCAGCAGCTGCTCAACGGCTGCCCTCCGGATTAGCCAGTTCCGGCCGTTAATTCTTTGCTATCGCTAATGACTTGCCAAGATCCACCCATAAAACTAGAAATCCAAAAAGTCTCACTATTCCTCAAAGTGAAGATATCCTACGGGATAGATGAATCCTTTCGGGAATTGATTAAATATGGTGGAACAGGAATGGTAGGAATGCTCCCCTCGTAGTTTCTCGAAATTTGAAAATAGTAACGTCTCCCAAGAGAATGGATGTGTGCAGTAATTGCCCTAAATTCAAAGGGAATCGATGACAGAGTGTTTCTGTTATTGCGGCCTCGCACCATTATCAACTCTCAGAAAAACGTATATCCTGGAAAGGCTGAAGCAGGCGATTGATGGGAGACTTGCCCAAATCAAGCAGACTTCTGGACGGGAAAATTCTGCCGAACCAAAGTTTCACTCTTCCTAGAATCATGGAGCAATGCCGACGAGTCCAGTTGCCTTCGTTTTCCAGTTTCTTTGACTTTATCGCTGCATCTTTAAAAGTTATCAAAACTTGAGCAAATTGTTTCCCTTTTGGAGGAAGTGTATGCACGAATCATGTCTGCTGTCGAAGTTGAAGTAGAGCTATCTGAATGGTTCCCTGTTAACCTAGAGTTCGCCACTGGGATGTGCTTTCGCATTTTGCCGTTGAAAATTGTTCTCGACCTTTTTGTCCGAAATAGTACCGGATCTGACAAAGACAAAAACGTCTCATTTCAGAGAAAAGGCACAGTTCAAGATATCCGGCGAAATATCTTACTTTTCTCGAGCATATAGATGATATCGTCCCATTGAGGAGTACGGGAAACTGGCTCTGTCACCTGCTAGTTTCCGTTTGCAACACAGCTGTGAATGCCGGCCTCTTCCTTAACGGTCGGAAGTCAAAAGTTATGAGTAACCCACAAACAACAAGTGTCACTTTCATTAATACAATATCCAAGTTAGTGCCAGAAACTCCTTGGCGATGTTGCGATGTATGTGATGATCGTCAATCCGTCCATACAGAGTGTTGGTCAGGGCACCCATTTCCTAAGGCATGTTTACTTAAAGGCAAGACGACCTGTTAGCTTTTGAATATTGACACGTTGCTGTCGACATGTTTTTGAGTTCATGGTGAATTTGCCGTGCTGTCATTAACTTTTAACGTCATGCCATTAAATTATTACCGTATTCATTACATTATTTTTCTTCAGAACATCGCAGTTACGAATCGAAGCATCAGCCGAATTACTCGTTGATCAGTGGCCTTGCTTCATCAACTTGTGTCACCGGTGTTTCAGCGATCTGCCTCTGGGCGGAGGAGAGGAAGACAACCGCCGAACTTCGTTGCGAACGCTTATGGAGGCCTGCCAAAAGGACACGCACTATATTTGGGACTAGTCTAACATTCACTGCGCATTTTGACCCTTTCTTTGGTCTTCGAAATATGGGAGAGTTTCTGAATTTATGAAGGGCTGAAAGTAGAAGAGGAAGAGGAAGAAACCAATCACAATGACGATGATGCCTCATTGCAGCAGTTTTCCTGCGACTGAAATTTGAAGGCTTCGAAACAATAAATTGATTCTTCCAGATCGACCAACAAACTGGGTTTAGTGGCTCATTTGAATGCCTCCATTTACAACGTTCCAACAATGAATCTAGATGACTGCTCGCAAAAAGTGTCTGTCTGACTTTCCTGTCTGAGAGGCGCACTACTTTCCTTCGGGTCAGGTGCAAACAGCGCTTCAGAATGCGAAATGCGACAGACGCGTCCATGGCTCCGGTTTTTATGGCAATAATTAACTTG